AGGGGAGGAGGAGGATGGAGCGGGGCAGGGAGGGGGGTCTGCCAAGGGCCAAGTGCAGCACTCGCCGTGCTGCTGGCGCGGGGCAGGCTGGGCCGCGGGGGAGAGATGGTATCTTACAGACTTTCCCACGCCTCGCACAAGCTCTCCAGGCAGGCGCACGCAGGCAGGTGATGCTCAGTAGCTGCTGGGGTATTTCATAAATGGAGAGCAGGCTGCTGTGCTTCCCCCGGGCGACAGGTCCATGCAGATAAGCCCCCAGTGTACATGTCCTACACAGCACGGGTGCTGCGGCCTTGCAGGTGGGGAGGGAGCCTCGTGCTCGCTGGGAACCTGGCAGCATGCCCTGGCCCTGCAGGGCAGGCTCCCCTCTCACTGTACCTCAGCTTCTCTTTCTCAGTGAAATACGGACATCCAACATCACAGGAATAGCCCCACGCTTAGGGCAGGTGCCCCAAGCTTAACTGGGCTGCTCCCTGCTGCCAGATTTCACCCAAATGCTGTGGCAGAGCTCCTCAGCCCAGCACAGGACTAGGAGGGGTCAACATTTCATTTGGGAATTGCCATCACAGACCACCAGAATTTGCAATGTGTTCTTCTGTTGCCGAAGCATGTGGTGGTTCTCCACGCCTAGAACTGAAGCAGCTACTGCACAGCAGGAAAGAGATGGTCCTGAAGCTAATTGGGCCCATTAACAAAGCAAGGAAGGCTGCAGTGGTCTCTGGCACACCAGCTGGTGAACAAGCACGGCGAGGAACTGAGCCGAGACAAGTTTCCATCCTCGAGCATGGCTGTAACCACAGACACCTTCCCTGCAGCTGCACTTCCAGCTGGCCCAGAGGCACCTATGCCGGGGTACTGCTGCTCCCCAGCCACCACCTGCAGCCCCCAGGGTTCCTGATAAGGAAACCTTTGCCCTGAGAAGACAACGCAGAAATGGAAGTGCTGCTGACTTGGGGGCAGGGGAGGTGGTGGGGAGGGCAAGGGGGTTGGAGCACCTCCTCACCTTACATGCCGCTGGGGTTTGCAGGCAGGTATGTCTGAGGATTGTTGGAAAGACACGGGGCTCGGCAGCCTGTGCAAGCCATGCCATGAAAATTTAAGGTCTTCATTCCTAACATGGGTTACTTTCATCGGGGTGACAAAGGCACCTCCTACCCAGCATAGCTCTGCAAACAGCTCTGTAGGAGTAATTATCACAAGTGTCCGTGTGCCAGCGCCAGGCTCCATCAGTAACCTCCCTCTGGAGGCAGTGCCACAGAGAGGCGTGGGGGCTCCTTCTCCGCTCCATCCCACCCGGAGCAAACACCTGCCTGCAGAGCCACCAGACCAAGATCCAGGACAGGCTCCTCCGCCCGCAGCCGGGGGCAGGCAGAGCCTCAGGAAGGCAAGTCCCGCTCCTGCGGAGAGGCTGCTGTACCCGCATGTCTCACAGGAGCAAC